CCCAAACGAAAAAATATAAACAAGTCTAAATTGAAAACAACGTTCAAACCTATGATTGCGTTGGATAAAAACCGCAATTTTTATACGTGTGCATGCAAAACAAATTTCTTGTTAGAGGGGTCTAAATACAGCACAAACAACATTTTCCAAAAGACCAAAAAAGTGAAAAAGTATATTTTAACAAAATGCATTTGACCAACAGGTCGACCAACAAATGTTCTTAAACCCTGCTGACTGCCATTGGCGATTGCCAAATAAACGGATCACCGATGTAATAAATGGATCTTAATTAAAAATTTTTACTAAACAGAAAACAATAAACTTGCGGAAAAGATGATATACCGCAAACAAAAGGTGCAAAGGTTTTTGTACACCATATCCGGATTTCGACAATTAATGTCTCTTCAGTGATGTTAGGAATCGAAACGGTATTAGGAAAGCCATACAATTTACCTCAATTTAGGATAGACTCTTGATTTTGAGGAGTCAAAATAGGATGAACGGATCATATAAACCCGAAGGCAAATATAATACAAGCCCAAACGAAAAAATATAAACAAGTCTAAATTGAAAACAACGTTCAAACCTATGATTGCGTTGGATAAAAACCGCAATTTTTATACGTGTGCATGCAAAACAAATTTCTTGTTAGAGGGGTCTAAATACAGCACAAACAACATTTTCCAAAAGACCAAGAAAGTGAAAAAGTATATTTTAACAAAACGCATTTGACCAACAGGTCGAACAACAAATGTTCTTAAACCCTGCTGACTGCCATTGGCAATTGCCAAATAAACGGATCACCGATGTAATAAATGGATCTTAATTAAAAATTTAATACTAAACAGAAAACAATAAACTTGCGGAAAAGATGATATACCGCAAACAAAAGGTGCAAAGGTTTTTGTACACCATATCCGGATTTCGACAATTAATGTCTCTTCAGTGATGTTAGGAATCGAAACGGTATTTGGAAAGCCATACAATTTACCTCAATTTAGGATAGACTCTTGATTTTGAGGAGTCAAAATAGGATGAACGGATCATATAAACCCGAAGGCAAATATAATACAAGCCCAAACGAAAAAATATAAACAAGTCTAAATTGAAAACAACGTTCAAACCTATGATTGCGTTGGATAAAAACCGCAATTTTTATACGTGTGCATGCAAAACAAATTTCTTGTTAGAGGGGTCTAAATACAGCACAAACAACATTTTCCAAAAGACCAAAAAAGTGAAAAAGTATATTTTAACAAAACGCATTTGACCAATAGGTCGAACAACAAATGTTCTTAAACACTGCTGACTGCCATTGGCGATTGCCAAATAAACAGATCACCGATGTAATAAATGGATCTTAATTAAAAATTTAATACTAAACAGAAAACAATAAACTTGCGGAAAAGATGATATACCGCAAACAAAAGGTGCAAAGGTTTTTGTACACCATATCCGGATTTCGACAATTAATGTCTCTTCAGTGATGTTAGGAATCGAAACGGTATTAGGAAAGCCATACAATTTACCTCAATTTAGGATAGACTCTTGATTTTGAGGAGTCAAAATAGGATGAACGGATCATATAAACCCGAAGGCAAATATAATACAAGCCCAAACGAGAAAATATAAAAAGTCTAAATTGAAAACAACGTTCAAACCTATGATTGCGTTGGATAAAAACCGCAATTTTTATACGTGTGCATGCAAAACAAATTTCTTGTTAGAGGGGTCTAAATACAGCACAAACAACATTTTCCAAAAGACCAAAAAAGTGAAAAAGTATATTTTAACAAAACGCATTTGACCAACAGGTCGACCAACAAATGTTCTTAAACCCTGCTGACTGCCATATATATATATATATATATATATATATATATAAACTGTCTGACATAACTTTTTCTAGGAGTTATTGCCCTTAAATGACGAAATTTACATATCAGTTTCATTTTGCCTATTATCATGAAAACTATAATAGTAAGAGAAAAACTTTGAATAGCTTGAATAGCTAAAATAGCTAAAATGGTTAGATCAAGACAACATCTACAAATAAGTCAAATTTTGCTGAAATCGTTAGTAGACACTTTCTTGGAGTGATTACGATTTTTTTACCCTTTGTTGTGTTTTGGGCAAAAAATAAAGAAGATAGACAGAAATTGTAATCAGAATAAATGATCAGCAACACAAGATCAACAAATATGAATTTTTTGGCATGAATTCTCTACTGGTCTACAACGTTGGAGAGTGTCCATTGTTGAAGATGTACATAGACCGACACATGCACTTAAGAGCCTCTAGTTTAATATAATAAAAGGTAGAAATATATATATATGACCACCATCTGAGTCAGACAGGTAGAAAGAAAAATATGTTAGTGCCCAAGTTGTATAGTCTATTGAACTATATATCTGACAACAGACTGGCATTCTAAAGTACAGAGATAGGCATGGCATATTATTGATTCCCTAGGAGAGAAGGCAACAACTCTGTTTGTGAGTGGCATTATAGAGGTTGAGACCATTCACCCAAATGGCCGGTATATAATAATCCAATTGGGGTATTATAATTCAAATGGGAAATAAATTTACAGTGCAAGAAGCTTAATTATACCCCACGCAACGAAGTTGTGGAGGGTATAATGTTTTTGACCCGTCCGTCAGTCTGAAAGTCCTGTTTCTTGTCATCACAACTCCTCTCAAACCACACAACAGAATTTCATGAAACCTTTTTAGATAATAAGGGCATACTATGTATATGTGCATATCGACAAGAAAGTACGATTCAATTTTTTTTCTAGGAGTTACGCCCCTTTGAACTTATTTGCTTCAATATACTACTGCAACAGTTTGTCATCGCAACTCCTCTGAAACAACACAACAGAATTTCATGAAACCTTTTTAGATAATAAGGACATACTATGTAGATGTGCATATCGACAGGAAATTATGATTCAATTTTTTTTTCTTACCCGTACAGTTATTTTATTTCTCCAGTGACAATGTGGGAACGTGGGGTATGTGTGCGCGCTCACTAAGGTTCTTTAATTTTTTCAGCAAAAATATTGAAAAGTGAGTTTGTTTAGGTCATTAGTAGCATTAACATTTGGTTAGCCACTTTCCCAGAAAATGAATAAATGAATTGATCCGTCTGAATACGGCATCTTCTAAGGGATCAATCTCATAAACAATAAGGAATTCAGAAAATTTGCTAACAAAAACTTGTTGCCTTTCACTTATTCGTTTACATTTTGTAATATTTTCCCTTGAATCCAAAAATACTTTTATATCCATTTGGGGTATTATAATTCCCAAGCACATTTGAGTGATTTGTCCCAACTTGTTATAGATAACATCATCAAGGTGTCGTTTCCTAAAGTTTCAGATAAGACTTTCTTTACATTAAAAGAAAAATATCCATGGCTGAATAAAATATGGGGATCTCTAGCATGTTTTGTTTTGAGTGTAACACTGCCTTAGGAGACAAAACAATCACAAGTGTATGTGAACACAAAGGCTCTCAAAAATTCAGCTCTCAACAGTGATGAGGCATTATGAGAGTCAAAACCCAATATATTCATAAGCTTGATGGTGAAAAACATAATTCCATTTTTGCCTGAGGGATGAACTTGAATAAATGATGCCAATAAAAAACATATTTCACTCAATTACAGAAAAATATGGTAGGTAAAAACCCCTTTTTTTATAAATTCTTATCTGGAGCTCTGTGTTATCTGAGAGTGCATGAAATTTAGACATGTTCAATAATTTTCAACCTTTACTTTACAGTCAGGCTATAGATATAACCATGATATTTCAGATCTACTTTAAAATATGTTTCTACTATCCAATTTGACAGTCATAGCTATTCCTATTGAGAACATGTGCAAAAATTCACAATGATATGCACCTTCTAGCGTTTTTAACAGTTTTTAAGGGAATCCCAAAACAGGACAAATTCAATATACCCTGAACATGAAATGCGACGGTGAATTCAAACAAGACTTTGGAATATGATGCATGGATCCCTACTATTTCTAAGGTGTAAATATAAAAAGAAATAAAAGATCATAAAAGAGTGGACAATTTTAGGGTTACAAAGGTTTACCCTCAGTTCAAATACTATTTTTTGTCCACCCCATACCTTAATATGATTCGAAATTATTCAAACTACTCTTCAAGTTTTTGATTTCGATCACTTTGATTATGTTCTACAAGAGGCTCTATCACGCACAAAGAATTATTGAGAAAATACTGATATGTATGATTACATTATTCAGAGTTCAGGAAGGTGCTGAACATTATACTAAACATTGGCCTCCTGAAAAAAATTGCTGAAACAATAATTGTCAATAAACCTTTTGGTAAATACTAACATCTGGAAATGAATATTCTGACCTGATTAATGCTAAGATAAAAGTTCCAAACTATATCAGCAATAAGTCCTTCCAAATTTAAATTTCAAATTCACCAGACATCCTGCATGACAAATGAATGCCTGTGTTGTATTTGTGAAAACTTATCCAATTTTTCTAACAGTATAGGATGTTGTATTGCTTACAGTGAAATTGTTTTAAGAGACTACTAAAGGGAGAGCACAAAAGTGGTCTCACAAGACATGTGGTCTTTAAATACAGGTCAATCTATATAAAATGCACACAGAGGAATCTAAAATTAATGGTCTTATAACACAGGTGTTTGCTTGATACAGGTGGTCTCTTAATCAGGTTTTACTGTACCGGGTACATGTATATATGCAATGCCCCCAGAATGCTGGTTTTATTGTATTTTTTCATTCATATAGAAATTTTATAACTGGTTTCCTCTTGACCAGAGCTTTTTGTACAACACGACTTCATCTAATATATTATGAACACAATATTGAATCCTCACTTTTGATAAAGACTTTCCATTGTAGATATGTCATGTTTCTTCACTTAACATTATAACTTCAGTTTCTGTGAAAGTATGTTTTTTTATGCATTTTTTTTTTATTTCAAGGATGCAGTATTGCTCCATCCATCAAAGGTACAGGTAGCCAGAGCTGCTAATATAATCCATGCCATGCTTCAGTATAGGAGAGATTTAGACAAAGAATCGCTAATGCCTGTAAGTTATTGTACTTATATAGAGCTTAAAGTCAAATGAAACTTCAAATAAAAAAAAAAAAAAATTGATTCACTTATTTGTCACTTGCTCCACATGCTCTGTGTTGATTGTTTATCAATGTCACAATCTGGTAAACTTGTTCGACAAACTCTAAAGCTAATTAATATATATAATAAATATAAAAAACGTGAATACAGGATTTAGTTTAGTATATATGCATGCATTGGTTCAATAATTTCAATAGCATTAAAATTACAAGAAACTCATTTCATATGACTTTAACTAAATGTACTGTATAAATAAATAAATCTATTGTAGAATTTTATGTAAATTGGACAGAAGCTTTTTTTTTTAATCAAAAGCATGTATCCAGAGCAAATTAATGTAAATATTTTTTTTTTCATTTTTGTACGCCCGTTTACGGGACGTTTTATGGTATACCTTCATCAACATGTCAGACAATAACTCAAAAAGGCTTAAACCAATTTTCATGAAACTTTGGTGAATTGTTTATATCTATTGACGTATAAAGCTTAATGCATGCATAGGTAGTCCAGGAACACAAGGAGGTATTATATGGCCCAAACAAATCTTGTCAATAATATTTCCCCAGCAAGACAATCAAGTCACATTTACTTCCAGTCAGAATGGATGGGTTGCTGTAACTACAAGGTAATAGTTAAATGACAAAAAACACAGTTTTGTCAATGTTTACCTTTGAAGTTTGTATTAATATAAAAAAATAGACTGAAAATGACCATTTTTTAGCTTGAGTGGGTTCCATCCCACCAGTCAATCTTCCACCTCACACCACACCCTCCTCCCATGCCATCCACCCCCAAATCTCAATACACAGTTTTATAGATCAGTATGATATGATGATTGATATCAGTTACAGTATCAAGAGTCCACTGCTTTGCATATAATTTGCATATGTTAGCAAATTTTGGAAAATGCCTGATTTTCTGGGGTCGAATCAGTTAATTTATTACTTTTAAATTTAGTTGATGCTCAACAAAACAGTGCCATTATGTTCAGCTCAGTATGAAAGACAGTTTCAGACAACAAGAATCCCTGGTATTGAAAAAGGTATTATATGTTTCATAAAGAAAGATAAGATTTAATCTTAAATTTTTGAAAAAGTTTAAAATTAGAAAATATTGTGTTACTAATTAGTTGCAATAAAGCAGTTACATTATACAACTTGTGAAATCAGTGAAACTTGAAATGCAATGCAGTGAAGTTATGAAGGTAATCATACCATAAATGATATGAAAATAAGGATGTAGCATGATTGACAATTGATAACTTTTACCAGAGACCAAAGGACCAGGATTTAAGACCACAGTATTGCTAAATCAACAGGATATAAGTATAAAAATCAAATTTGACATGAATCTGCGTAAATTTTTTGCATCGTATAATGCTATGGGGTCGTCGTCGTCCGAAGTCACATTTGGTTTCCTGACAATAACTTTAGTTTAAGTGAATGGATCTATATGAAATTTTACCAGAAGGTTCAATACCACAAAAGGAAGGTTGGGATTGATTTTGGGGGTTATTGTACCAACAGTTTAGGAATTAGGGGCCAAAAAGGGGCCAAAATCAAGCATTTTTGTAGTTTCCGGACAATAACTTGTGTGTTAGTCAGTGTATAGATCTCTCAGAAATTGTACCACAAAGTTCCATATCACAAAGGGAAGATTGGGATTAAGTTAAGGGGTAATTGCCCCAACGGTTCAGGAATTGGGGGGTTCTAAAAGTTTGGGGGGATTTTTTTTTTCCAATTTTTATGGGGGGTTCATATTTTTTTTTCTTCAAAATTTTTGAAATTTCAAATGATTGCACAGTATTGCGCAATAGCAAGAAATCTTCAATTGCACAGTATTGCGCAATAGCAAGAAATCTTCAATTATACAGTATTGCGCAATAGCAAGAAATCTTCAATTAGCCAGCAGACTACACGAAATTTGTCGGACCGTCGAACAAATCCGGTGAATAATGGATCGGTCTGGTAAAATTTTGTTGAATTCCGGTCCGAATGTCCGGTGTTGTTTTTTTCATGAATTTTTCTAGCATCATCTAGCAAAATTCACAAACGATCTCAAAATTCATTTTCATGTTTACTATTCATGACAGCGATGTTTATTTTGTTCAAAGGCTAGCTTTATGCCGAAAATCGCCAACAAGTAATATGCAAATCCGAGTAAAAACTTATCTGACCGACAAAAACAACAGACAATGGCTGCCATCAACCGGAAATGTAGACAATACCGGATCAGATTCCGGGAGCAGATAAGGCTAATTCCGGGTTTGCCCGATTAAATACAATAAATAAATTTAAAAAATCCAAGCAGGTCACAAAATACAGCTATGAAATATAAACACAGAATTGAAAACCAAAAGATATATGAAAAAGAAAGAAGAAACAGGAAATATTTTATACAGAAACTCTCAATTATTTTTAGTTCACAAATAATTTTCACGTCATGTGACATTACTTTTCTTATTCAAGTAATTGTGCACAAATTTCACCAAAACATACACGCTTGTCACAAGATTTTGTTTTTGTGCATTTTGGAGATGAGTAGGGCACAACAAGCCATAAGTTTGTTGTATTTTGTCAGATAATATACAATTAGATGTAAAAAAAATGGTCTGGTAAAATTTCATTCGGTCTGGTAAAGCTTGGTTGTTGTTTACCAGACCGAATGTCCTGTAAAAATAAAATTCATTCGTGTAGTCTGCAGCCAGTATTGCGCAATAGCACAGTATTGCGCAATAGCAAGAAATCTTCAATTGCACAGTATTGCACAATAGCAAGAAATCTTAAATTGCACAACAGTATTGTGCAATAGCAAGAAATCTTCAATTGAAAATAAATACAAATCTTTTAACCAATTTCAATGGGATTAATTTAAAGTCTTTAATTTTTGGGGGTTCTAAACTTGTATTACTTTTTTGGATATTGGGCCCCATTTTTAAATTGGTCTACATTAAGGTCAAAAGGGTCCAAAATTAAACTTTGTTTGATTTCATCAAAACCTGAATTATTGCGGTTGTATGATATGCTGAATCTTATTGTGCATTTAGATTTTTTATTTTGAGCCTTGTTTTCAAATTAGTCCATATTTAGGTTGGAAGGGTCTAAAATTAAACTTTGTTTGATTTCAACTAAAATTAAATTTTTGGTGTTTTTTTATATGCTGAATATAACCATGTTGTTAGATTTTGGATATCAGACCATTCTAGGTAAATTAAATGTCCCATTTCAAATTTTTAAGATCTTCGACCACATTTATTTTGTGTCAGAAACCTATATTATGTCAAAAATTGGATCACAATCCAAATTCAGACAGTATCAAGCTTGAATATTGTGTCCAAATTTGCCCCAACTGTTCAGGGTTAGACCTTTGCGGTCGTATCTGGCTGCGCTTTATTTTCATGAAAATTTCCACTAAAAGTAGTATTTAGTGAATTACTGGCATCTTATTTTGTAAATTACTGAATAAAACAAAACCAGTCAAACTTGTATATAAAGGTCACCCTTGAGACCAGAAAAAAAATGACTATAAAAGGTGACCTTTGAATTGAGGTTTAAAATGCATAGGTATTACTACAGTGGGACAATGACACCTTGTGAACACGACTTCTCTGAGACTATTTGACAGAAAGCTTTCATACTATAAGTATAGTAGGATCATTTTCCATCATGAGTTATTGACTGTAATATACTGTCCTTTTTATTTTTACATTTTTATGGGAGTTATGGGACTAAGACCAACTTTTATACAACTGAAAAAAATTTAAGGCCATATAATGGTATGGCCTTGTCGTTGTCGTCGTCCGAGGACATTTGGTTTCCAGACAATAAATTGAGTATAAGTGTATGGATCTCTATGAAATTGTACCACAAGGTTCCATACCATAAAAGGAAGGTTGGGATTGATTTTAGTGGTTATTGTCCTAACTGTTTAGGAATTAGGGGCCAAAAACATGCATTTTTCTTGTTTCATGACAATAACTTGTGTAAAAGTGTAATGATCTCTACTGGTGAAAGAGCAATTATATTTTGTGTGAGTTGCATTACTATCAGTACATATCAGTTTGACGACAATTTTGAGGCCCTGCCCCCTAGGCCATGGTCCAGTGACTTTGAATTAATTAGCCATTTTCAATGGAAAGTTTTCTGCTTAAGTTATTTTGATAGGAACTACTTGTGATAGATCAATGATATCTTGTATGAAGTTGCATTTCTATCAGTACATTATTATTAAGGCCCTGTCCAAAATTAAACTTTGTTTGATTTCATAAAAAAATGAATTATTGTGGTTCTTTGATTTGAAAAATTTAACCATGTATTTAGATTTTTATACAACCGCAAAAAATTTTGCGGTCGTATATTGGTATCACGTTGTCGTCAGCGTCGTCAGAAGACATCTGGTTTCTGGACAATAACTTTAGTAAATGTAAATAGAAATCTATGAAATTTAAACACAAGGTTTATAACCACAAAAGGAAGATTGGGATTGATTTTGGGGGTTATGGTCCCAACAGTTTAGGAATTAGGGGCCAAAAGGGGCCCAAATAAGCATTTTTCTAGTTTCCAGACAATAACTGGTGGAACCGTGAAAGGATCTCTCTGAAATTATACCACAAGTTTCCATACCACAAAGGGATGGTTAGGATTGTCTTTGGGGGGTTATGGCTCAAATCGTTTAGGAATTAGGGGCAAAAAAGGGTGAAAAACAAGGGTTTCCTGGTTAATGGACAATTAAAAAAAAGTAAAATGTTATGTTTGGATTACCTCCCTTACACTGCTTTTAAATTATGTATAAAGAAATGTTGTATTGTCTTGAGGTGATTAGCTGTCAATTTATTTTTGGAAGTTACTTTTTAAAAATGCTGATTAAGGAATATTAATTTTAGCCATGATTATGTATGTCATTTTCTATTTTTAAGACTCTTATGATGTAATCAATGCATAATGTATTGCACAAAAGCAAAAAATTGAATATAAAATCAAATCATATAACCAATTCTAAGTTCTTAGACTACAGTTATTCTGTGTCAGAAACCTATTATGTGTCAAATATTTAATTACAATCCAAATTCAGACCTGTATCAAGTGCAAATATTGTGACCTTTTTTGCCCCAACTGTTCAGGGTTGGACCTCTGCGGTCATATCCAGCTGTGCTCGGCGAAGCAATTTATTAATTTTGGGCCCAGTTTTTAAATTGATTCATATTGAGGTCCCAAGGGTTCAAAATTAAACTTTGTTTGATTTCATAAAAAACTAGATTGTTTTAGTTTATGATTTGTGGAATTTTAGCTGTGTATTTTGATTTTTATACGACCGCAAAAAAAAATTTGCGGTCGTATATTGGTATGACGTTGGCGTCGTCGTAGTCGTCCGAAGACACACTGGTTTTCGCACTTTAACTTTAGTTTAAGTGAATGGATCTCTATGAAATTTTACCATAAGGTTCAATACCACAAAAGGAAGGTGGGGATTGATTTTGGGGGTTATGGTACCAACAGTTAAGGAATTAGGGGCCAAAAATAAGCATTTTCTAGTTTCCAGACAATAACTTGTGGAACGGTGTATGGATCTCTCTGAAATTATACCACAAGTTTCTATTCCACAAAGAGATGGTTAGGAATTGCTTTGGGGGGTTATGGATCAATGAACAATTAAGACAATTTGAAACAGTGTAAGGGAGGTAATCCAAATACAACGTTTTGATTACTTCCCTTACACTGCTTTTAAATTATGTTTAAAGAAATGCATATTTATAAAGGAAGACCAGTAAAAATATCTGCAAATGTTGCATCTTTTTTTTTTACAAAAAAATCCATATGAAAGATTTGACACCATTTTTTAAATTCTATTGTGAAATAGATTAAGTTAGCACTATGGTAAATTTTAATGGGAAATTATGGTTGCAAATTCCATTGGAAATTTGAATTGAGATTATGACCATATCTTGAGGGAAAGAATTTTTTTGGGGGGAAAGGGGGGGGGGGGGGGGGGGGGGGTTAAAAGAAATTGTGGGGGGTCAATGTTTTCTCATTTCAGATTTCAGAAATTAAAAAGAATTATTCTTCAAATATTATTTTTTTTTCCAATTTCAAATATTGAAATTTTCAAGAAGTAATCTTTAATTGCACAGTATGGCGCATTAGATTTGTAAAATCTTTGACCACATTTATTTATTTGTTATGCCGAATCTGACCATGTATTTAGATTTTTAATTTTGGGTCCAGTTTTCAAATTGGTCTACATTAAGGTCCAAAGGGTCAAAAACTAAACTTAGTTTGATTTTAACAAAAATTGAATATATGGGGTTCTTTGATATGCTGAATCTAAACATGTATTTAGATTTTTGGTTTTGGGCCCAGTTTTCAAGTTGGTCCAAATTGGAGTCCAAAATTAAACTTTGTTTGATTTCAACAAAAATTGAATATATGGGGTTCTTTGATATGCTGAATCTAACCATGTATTTAGATTTTTTATTTGTGGGCCCCGCTATCAAATTGGTTCATATTGAGGTCAAAAGGGTCCAAAATTAAACCTTTGTTTGATTTCATCAAAAATTGAATTATTGGGGTTCTTTGATATGCCAAATCTAACCATGTATTTAGATTTTTAATTTTGCGTCCCGTTTTTTAAATTGGTCGACATTAAGGTCCAAAGGGTCCAAAATTAACTTAGTTTGATTTTAACAAGAATTGAATTCTTGGGGTTCTTTGATATGCTGAATCTAAACATGTGTTTAGATTTTTTGATTATGGGCCCAGTTTTCAGGTTGGTCCAAGTTGGGGTCCAAAATTAAACTTTGTTTGATTTCAACAAAAATTGAATATATGGGGTTCTTTGATATGCTGAATCTAACCATGTATTTTGATTTTTGGGCCCCGTTATCAAATTGATCCACATTGAGGTCAAAAGGGTCCAAAATTAAACTTTGTTTGATTTCATCAAAAATTGAATTCTTTGGATTCTTTGATATGCTGAATCTAACCATGTATTTAGATTTTGGATATTGGACCATTATAGGTAAAGTAAAAAAATTTAAGTTCTTAGACCACATTCATTCTGTGTCAGAAACCTATGCTGTGTCCAGTATTTAATCATAATCCAAATTCAGAGCTGTATCAGGCTTGAATGTTGTGTACATACTTGCCCCAACTGTTCAGGGTTCGACCTTTGCGGTCGTATCAAGCTACGCCCAGCGGAGCATTTTATTGTGTTTTGGTCTGTTTTTCTTAAACTATAACCTATAGGTCAAGTATATTTGTTGTATGGAATAATTGTAAAGTGTATATGTCTGTCTGGCAGTTATCATCTGGCCTTGACCACATTTTCATGGTTCATTGGTCAATGTTAAGTTTTCATGGTTAAGTTTGTTTCTTAGATACTGTAAGCCACTAAACTTAATGCATAGATTGATTGTAAGGTGTACATGTCTGTCTGGCATGGTTCATCTGACCTTGACCTTATTTTCATGGTTCATTGGTCAATGTTTAGTTTTCCTGTTTAAGTCTGTTTCTTAGAAACTATAAGCAATAGGTCAACTATATTTGGTGTATTGAATGATTGTAAGGTGTACATGTATTTCTGGTTTGGTTTATCTGACCTTGACCTACTTTTCTTGGATCATGTTAAGTTTATGTGATACTTTTAGTAAAGCTTTATATTTAGGACTATCAACATAAAATCAATGGTCAGTAAAGAAGGCGATACATTTCAGCGTGTGCACTCTTGTTATAGGATTTATGGGAATTGTACCATATTTTGACTATCTTACCATAATTACACATTGTGACACACAATTTAATTTCTCATTTATACAGGGGTGGGGACATTTCGCTACAGTGGATCAATCTTGTTTATTACCAATAAAATTTGTTTTAGAAAATTTTCAAGTTGTAAAACAAGTTAACAAAGATACCAAATTTTGTGTCTCATTTTTCTCAAAAACAAGCATGGTAAAACATATGGGTCAATATCTCTAATTCGCCTGAAATTAAGGTACTCAAAAATAGTATGTTAGCACAAAATCTCTGCAGTTATATTGGACATATTTCAATTTTTATCAAGTGACTGAGCTTAACCATTTGTGCTGATTTGAAGAGCAGAGGACCATAGAATAAAGGTGTTAAAAATATGAAGTTATTAAATGTATGCAAAGAACTTATTGTGTGAAAAAAAGATTTTTTACCTCATGTAGCCTCATCACAAAGGGCTAGATTACAGAAAAACAAATCTCACATTGTACTCCTAAAATTTAATCACATATGTGAAAATGTCCCAGCTTCGAAACAAGCCATCTCTCTATTTTGTATGTAGACATAACTTAAGTTGCATTCATTTTTCAGACTCCATGTTGTTTTCATTTTAGATACCATTGTGCATTATAAGGACAGTCAACACATAGCTGTTTATCACAAGGGAAGATACTTTAAAGTATATATCCATTTCCGAGGTAGACTTCTTAAACCATGTGAAATTGAAGTGTAGGTATTTAGAGTTACAGCCACCATTCTTCATTGATGCACTGAATAATGTATTTGATGTTTATTTCATTTCTATGAATTATGCCTCTACTTTCTTGGGAACATAGGAATACAATATTGTTTGAAAACCCAGAGAAAACACCATTCCCATACTTTTGTTTTGTAGACGTTGTATGGGGATAATGGGTAAATGAATTAGACACTTTATTTCAAGTCCTCACAAATGGGTTTTATGAAAAAATCAATATCATTTGGTTTTTGAGTCACAAGTAAAATACATTTGCTTTGAAGAATGCACTCACAAAATGCAGAAAATTAAAGTAACCCTTACCGTGCGGGGCAGTGATATTATGGCAGCATTGGCCTCTACCCAAAATATTTTTTTTGGCTCCAATGGGTCTCCATACTTTTAGAGGTCAACTGTATGATATCAATTTCAAAATTGATGCATGTTCCCTCAACCTTACGCTATTTATTGTCATGTTTCCTAGGTTTAAGGTGCAGTTTGAGCCCAAATACGAACTTCTAAAATTGAAATCAGATAAAACTGGTTTTTCTGGAGGGGTCGGCTTCCTTTCAGTGTCTTGCACACACTTTTTATGAGTAATAGGATAATTATATTTGGTATATGGGTTCCTTGCAAGGTCTACATGTTGGTCGGAAAGGGTTCACCTGACCCTGACCTCATTTCATGGATCAAGGTTAAGTTTATGTGGTCAAGTCCATATGTCAGATACTATATGCAACAGGTCAATTATATTCTGTGTATGGAATGATTGAAATGCGTACATGTATGTCTGGCATGTATAATCTGTCTTTGACCTCATTTTCATAGTTCATTGGTGAATGTTTAGTTTTCCTGGTTAAGTCTGTTTCTTTGATAATTTAAGCAATAGGTCAACTATATTTGGTGCACAGAATGATTATAAGGTGAACATGTCTGTCTAGCATATGTATAATATTTCCTTGACCTTATTTTCATGGTTCATTGGTCAATGTTAAGTTTTCATGGTTTTGTTTGTTTGTTTCTTTCTTGGATACTATATGCAATAGGTCAACCATATTTGGTGTATGGAATGATAGTAAATTGTACATGTCTGTCTGGCAGGGTTTATCGGCTCTTGACCTCGTTGTCATGGATCTTTGATAATGATAAGTTTATGTGATCCTTTATCTAACATAAAAATCAATCATGGTCAGTAAAGCAGGACAGACATTTCAGCGTGTGCACTCTTGTTTATTTTATAGCTCACTTTATTATCCTGATCTTAGTTTTCAAGATGGAATTTTAAATAAACTGGTGCTATTTCGGGGTGTCTTCTTTTTCTTTTTTTTGAGAAGGATTTCAGTCACTATTAAGTAAGTAAGTGTTCCAATTCATATTTAGACACAACACATAAATAATAAGAGGAAAGGTGCCACCATTGTATGAGAGATGCTGAAACTGAAAATAGAATATACAAGCATTCAATAATTTTTGTTGGACAACCATCTAAAAATTAGGACATGAAGGGTGTGATTTTCAATGAGACAACTGTGCATAGACCAAAAAACAAAGATAAGAACAATTACAGGTTATTGAGGGGCTTAAACATTTCTATCTCCTGGTCTGGGTTACAAAATAAATAACATGACCTTGCAAGAACATGAGTAGCAAAAGTAAATATACCAAAGTCCAGTTACATGCATTAAAATGTTTTACATAATTATGAGATAAACTACAGACTGGTTGCCAAAACTGGTGTCTACTTACAGAGGGCTTTCCTAAAATTAATGTGATTGTCTTAAGCATGAACCCTAAACTTATATGACAGAATAAGTGTGATTTATAAACAGATTATTTATCAGATTATAATCAGGTTTACAAGTAAAAGATTTTATAGCTATGACAATTCATCTAAAGCAGTTGACATAGAAGAGGTGGCAAGCTGATTCCTTGTCCAGATAATCATGATGTCTGGGTAGAAAGGCATTCTGACTATATGAAATCAAGAAGGAATATTTCGCTCCTTTAACTTTTAGCAAGGCCTTCAACAAACTCCAAAACTAAATGAAATGTAACATATGAACAATAACAATATATATAAGCACAAGCAATTTAAGGCTTAAAAGATTAATATATACCAAATAGAAATAACAATAGATTTAAAGATTAATAGGCCAGTGACATTTTTCAAAAAGACGCTTAGTTAACGACTTTAATGCACCCACCTAACATATGGCTATATTATATATCATTCAAAAGCTTATTGTCAGTACTTTCTGTTTTGCCTGGTTGTCAACAATTCGTACAGTGCAATTTTTATTAAGTCAAGGTCAAAGGTCAAAAATAAACATTCCTAAATTTTGCAAAAATAAAACAAAATGCCCTTTACTGGTTCTTGTATGATATTTTCTTTCTAAAAATCATATGAACATAATAAGAACAGAACACCATATTTCCAAATAAATTCATATTAAAATGTTAACTGCCCAATATTTACAGAAAATTCTTTAAATATCCTTCAAAAATGATAAAATTTGTGCTAATAGCAAAATATTTCTTTAGGTATCAATATATACATGTCAAAAATAAAATAAAATTTATCGTTTATAGGTGAAGGGATTTTTTTTCGTCATTTTAAACTGCAATTGATATACCGGTAATAATGATCTGGAATCAACTGTCTTATGAAGCTTTTGCAGTTGCCCTAAAATACAATCATCTGCAATTAGGTATCATTTTGCTTTTCATTGTTTAGATAAAACATCAGTTGTTGTCAATATCAGGAGAAAATAATTTAGCATATTTCAAAAAGGGGTAATAAAAGTGATTAAGGAATATACAAGATATATAAAGTAAAAATATGAATACTGTTTGCACCACCCGCTGAACAATCACAAATCCAGCATTGATTTGTTTGTTAGCACAATATTACATACTGTATTAGTTGTTTTATCAAATATGAATGAAAATTGAAATCGTGGAAGATTGAATACCCTTTCTGAGCAATTTCAATCACCACCAGTTTAAGGTAGTGTTTGTACATGTTGGTGTTGTGTTTTAAGGACTTTTGTTTGTCTGATCTTCTTTTTATCGCATTGGTCATGGTGTCATATATGTGTTTATCGGATATGTAAGCATAACCTTGTCCCTACGCTCATTTGTTTTTGTTCATTCCATTCATATGTCCATCGGTAAGTCCAAAAAACTTTGTAATGAGCAATACTCCTATGTATACATCACTTGGTAAATTTTAGTGATGATCAAAGTTTTGACTTGCACATATATGGAGATTGCACATGAAGGGATTTTATTCATGATAAACACATTCAAATACTAGTAGAGTTCAATAGCCAGTAATTCAAATTCACCATTACAGTCCTGCTTTTAAGTTATCTCATTTTAACGATTGATTTTCTCACATTTATAGACATACCATGTTGTATGTTTTTTTATGTCAACTAATATCAGACACTTATTCCATTATGAAAACTTTGCACCATTAAAAAACCAAACGAACAGTTTATAGCATGCAAAGCATTGGAATGTTAAAAAAAACTGATGCTACTTATTCATGTTATTGTTTGGATAAAGTTTTAGGGGTTTCTTTATAATTTAGTTTTGAAAAGACATTACTTCAAACCAACTAGTTTTTGCAACCAATTTGTTTATGCAACGTTTGTGATTAGAAAAATAAAGAGAATAGAATTAACCATGTTCTTATCTGGTATGAAAATAAAGTGTGAAAATTGCCAAAACATCCTTGCCAGTAGGAAAAGTGCTTAATGCTTAAATGTAATGAAACTTATACATACTGCTTATTACCACAAAATACAGATCAAGTTTGAATTTTGGTGGTGTCACTTAAACCGTTCTAGAGTTATGCCCCTTTACAAACGGAAAAATTGCTGAATTTTTCGTTTCCTTCTCTAACTTAAGTTTGACTCAACCAAATTTTATGAAACTTATACACAATACTTAATACTACAAAACTCAGATCAAGTACAAATTTTGGTAGCGTCACTTTTACTGTTCTTCAGTTATGTCCCTTTATAACTTAATATGATATGCAAGCGGGGGCATCATCTGTGTCCCATGGACACATTCCTCATTTATTTTTTATTTTTTCTTCAATGCATGATGTTGTTGAAACAACCAAGAAAACAAATTTTCTAATTTGTATAAGAGAAAAATTTGAAAATCAACTTTTCATTAATTAGCTTTCTAACTACGTAATTATCTATTGATGTATTTAGTTTTTTTGGGCTAGCTTGATATTTATATATACAGTCCTTTATTTCTTTTATTGATAGTCATGAAATTACAAACAAAATAACAAGAAAAGACAGAAGAGTTTTTAACAGGCACACAATTAAACTACATATTGAAATATCAAAGTTTAGCTCCCTAAATTTCCCTTAAAAGCATGCATTCTGCATGTATTAAATTAATCAAACATTTTTGAATTTTTAAATGTGACTTCAACCTAAAATTGACTACATGAAAATATTTTTATAAGAAGAACAGCTTAAAAGCTATCTTTTTTCGCAGATGTTGGTATTTTGGGCAACTGTATGGGTTGATATGATTAACTGTACAAGTAGCTAGAAGCGAGATTGCAGTAATTTTATGTTGTTAAAAACTTCCTAAGCACTAAATGAAATGTGTTATTTGGTTTTATAGTGATTAACAATTGAATCACAGACAAGTATTTTGGTTTTCACTCATGTTTATCCTTTTCACTGGAATTTCAGGAAAAAGGCGCTATTTATTAAAAATACGTCATTAATATTTTAAAGTGCGTTTGACAATTGACTAACAGTCTTTGTTCTAAAAGTTTTTCATATTTCATACAGAATTTTATTATTTAGAAGACAGAATATGCAAAAATGTTGACTTCTTGTAAAATAAGAAATTGTCTGTCCTTGATCTTTTATCGTGATTTGACAGAAATTGCATCGTAGGAATATTTGACGACTGGGCAAAAAAGAAAGTACAGATGATATGTTTTCGAATGATATATGATTTAGCCGTCTATATGTTAGGTGGGTGTATTAGAAATGAAATTTTATGGTTAATGTCACTCAACTATAATTAGTATCCGACACATGATAAACACTTATGTCTAAATTTACAACTAAGTGCAGAATAATAAAATATGAAATAAAATAAATGCAAAATATGAAAATACAGTAAAACAATTGAATTAATAAAATGTTGCTTAAAAAACTAATTTCACACTTCACAGTCCAAATAATCTGGTCATCTGTTCCCATGGTACTGAAGACACGTCCCGTGTCTTACTTTTCATCTAAATTAATTGCTTCAAAAGTTTGTGTAGTGATTGTGGCATTTTCTGTTACGATAGTTATGGTTGGAATAATTATGCTCCCTTACATTTTTAAGAAAATTGTCAAATTCATCTTCTAGCTTATTGATTTTATCTTGCATATGTTCCTTTTTACGTTCCTATTTGAATTGCTATAATATTTCTCTGGTCATACATCCTAAAACTGTATTCTTCCAGGTCAGACACCCTTTCTTGTAATTTCTTGATATCTGAAGTCTGTTTGGAACGTTGTTTCTTTATCTTGTCTAGCTCTAATTACACTGGTATGTTTTTGAGGCAGTTCCTTATACTTCTTTTCATAATGAACAATTTTGATTTTGAACTTTAATAACTATTTCTGAATTCAATCGGTCATGCATGCCTGAGTCTAATGTTATCTAGGAATTCCTTATTATAGTAAGATAGGAAAGAAGTCCATGAGTTCAATATTATTAAGTTCCAATCAAGGGAAAGCTGACATTGCTTTCTGTTCTTTTAATTTCCTCATTCTTTCTGCCTCGCAACGTAATTTTGATTTTGATTTAACTTTGACTATCACATTCTGTTGTCTGTGAAAATAACATTTTCTAGCGATATGTCCAAAACATCTGTACTTGTTGCAAAATGATGTTATTGCTATACATTGTCCAAAATGAAATTGGTTGATTACAGTTTTTCCACAAAACTTATATTTGGCAGGGTCTGCTGAGGGTATTTTTTTAGATCTCTCATTGACATCACAGGAAGGCTTCAAATCAGAAAATCAGAATAGCCTTTTAAGACATTTTAATTATTTGGACTAGCTGATTCCGATCACATCATTCTAATCTATGTGACAAAACATGTAAAAATTCAAGAAATTGGACTTGAATATACGTTATCATATATTGTCCCCAAGGCAATCTGTCTTGTCTGTTGGTCCGGTCTTGTAAGGGCTCTCACATGTACAGCTCTTGCCAAATTTTTTATGAAACTCATAACAGGTTTTTATCAGCAATGCCTCAAAAAAGCATGTTCAAAAATCAGTGCAGATGATTTATTTTAAAAAGAGTTATACCCCTTTGGAAATATTAATTATATGGAAAATTGCAGTGTTAGCAACATGTACAATTCTTTTCAAATATTTATGAAACTCATATTATAAGTTTATATCAATCAGCAATGTCTTGGACAAGTTCAAAAAACCGTTCCAATGAATTATTTTTAGAAGAGTTATGCCCTTGGAAATATTAGTTATATGGAAAATTGCATTGTTAGCACTCTCACTTGTACAATTCTTGCCAAATTTTTATGAAACTTATATCATCGGTTTATATCAGCAATGTCTTTGATAAGTTTGAAAATCAGTGCTGATCAATTATTTTTAAAAGAGTTATGCCCCTTGGAAATATTTATTACATGAAAAATTGCATTGTAAGCGCTTTCAGATGTACATTTCTTGCCAGATTTTTCTGCATTGTTTTAGCCATGGTCAAATCACAAATAAAGAAACTTTTCCAAAAATACATTTTCCATTCTTTGTGCAAATGAAAGGAATACATGTTTACTTCACTACCATAAAACTTGAAATGTCTTATTACACCCTGTGACGTAATTTGGGACTTATTATGATTCAACATGATACAGTAATTTGTTAGTTTCTCTTTTTCATCTGGCTCAACTGATATCGTGATAAAGTCAGTCTCTAAATCAAAAATCCTATATTCTATACACACAAGTCAAATGAAATGATGCAAGTTTTTGGCAAACCACCTAATTTAGCATTAATTTAAGACGTGATAAAATCCTAAATGACATTTTAGTACAGAAAGACATTATGCTACGTATTTTTAAAAAACGTAATAAATGTGAACTATGTGGATGGAACTGTGTGATATTGCTGTTTGTGCGCAATACTCACTTATTTACAAGTTGATCTTTTTCACTTTACAACAGCTAATTTAATGTGCACATTATTCGGCAAACACTGGGACAAAGGAGAAGGTTCACAAAGGGCTAAAATTGGCCTTACTGTTTTTATGTTTTTTTAATCTTGCCAAAATGGTACAAATTTCACATAGAATTAGTCATGATATTACTATTTATACAAAAAAACTTCTTTTGGTCCCCTCACATTATAATTTACAAAGTTATGACCCCCTAATTATGCATGATTTGTGTTGAAAGTTAGTTTTGGTCCAATTTTTCGATAATTTTATAACAGTTTTAGGCATAATTTACTTTTGCCGCCATCCATGATCCAAAATTTGTTTGTGTCTAGGAATTTACCATTAACCTTGGCACCTTTTTTGTTACAGAACAGTTTGGATCGTAGGTTGTGTGTAGCCAATATTTTCCTATTGCTTTTAGGTCTAATAAATGCACAAAATTATCATATTTTGATAATGTCTGACTTTAGACCCTATAATGTAATATCATGTAAAGATTTGTTTTACTTAGGGATCAGGCTATTGTTGGGTTAGAAAAGATCTGCAGATACGATGTATTCCAAGATACAACTGAGATATTTGGATAAACAAATTACAGACATACAAGCCCATGAACTAATGCAAAATCATGACGTCTTCTTTCCAAAATTATTAGATTATGAACTATGATGCTGTTAATTATGATGATGAATATGATTTGCTAACCTATTTATAAAGTATGTTTGAGATGACTGTTCAATAGCTCTAGATAAAAGAGGTTTTTTAAAAAATTTTATTCATTATATAATTAATGATAATCTTTCATTAAATTTAATATTATTGATTGTAGTCAGTATGCACTTGTATCTGAATGTTTCTAATACTTGCATTCTTCTGTCATTCTTTCATATTCATTTTGGTTTTTTTCACATTCTATAAACCTGTAAACTAAGCAATAGGTTTATTTTTTATGGCTGGATGGATCTATTGAAAATGGTGGGTCTTTTTTTATGCCCCCGCCGTAGTGGAGGGGACATTAAGTTTTACCCTTGTCCGTCTGTACTTACGTACATACATCCATACGTCCCAAAATTGGTTTCCATTCTCTAACTTGAGTTTGCCTAAACCAAATGTTATGAAACTTATACACAATGCTTATAATCACAAAATACAGATCAAGTTTGAATTTTGGTAGTGTCACTCTAACCGTTCTAGAGTTATGCCCCTTTATAAATGAAAAAATTACAAAATTTTTAGTTTCCGTTCTCTAACTTAAGTTTGCCTCTACCAAATGTTATGAAACTTATACACAATGCTTATTAAGACAAAACACAGATCAAGTTTGAATTTTGGTGGGGTCACTTTAACCATTCTCGAGTTATGCCCCTTTATAAATCGAAAAATTGCAAAATTTTTAGTTTCCGTTCTGTAACTTAAATTTGCCCCAACCAAACATTATGAAACCTATACATGCTATACACAATACTTATTACCACAAAACTCAGATCTAGTACAAATTTGGGTAGCGTCAATTTTATTGTTTTTGAGTTATGTCCCTTTATTATGTTGTATGCAAGCGGGGGCATCATCTATGTCCATGGGGACACATTTTCCATTTATTTCATTATCTGTTACTCAATTCCCTTGGCTCAAATGGACAGTTTGTAAGGAGGTGATAGATTGCAATGTAGAAGAACCAAAAGAATATAAAGTTATGGAGAGAGAAAAAAAAAACACAGAAAGAAAAAAAAAGAGAGTGAAAAATACTAACATACCGGTAATCACACAACTAAAACAGAAAATAACTTGACAACAAATAATTTTTCTTCAGGTCACTGCAAAAGATTCTAGATGATGATGCTGAACCTGCAGTCGGAGAAGAACATCTGGCAGCATTAACAGCTGGTGACAGAGTACCATGGGCTAAAGCTAGACAAGAATATTTCTCAAAAGGCAAAAATAAAGCTTCTTTGGATGCTATTGAAAAGGTATAATTGAACAAATGATATGATAATGATCAGAGAAATTAGTGTAGATTTTTGGGGGAGTGTTTATGACCTTGTGGGGTTGTATTTATACTGTTGTATTAAATTTAAATTCCTGGGAAGATTGAAGTGGCTGCGTTTCTGATGGCTATTTCTTAGTCGAGGAACTTTGTGGCTGGTTGTAGAAGTATGTTGAATTGGTTACATAGATCTTGAAGAATAGTGAGTAGCCTTGTGTATATCTGCTGATCTTTACCGGGTAGGAGACTTTTAGCATTACTTTTTATTTTATATTAATTTTAAAAAAATCATAATTTATTAAAATAATGAAATTAATAAATTCTTTGAGGCTGAAGTTGAAAGTGTTGGTTACTATTAATTTTCTTTTAAATACATTTTTTCCAGAATTTAAAATGCTTTTACTACTTTTTCTTTTGAATAATTTTATTTTCCAGACTACTAAATGCTTTGAAAAACAAATGAACTATATTTTACATATAAATAATAATTTTTATTTAATTTCCTCAGGTAAATTTACCTTTGACCCAATTAGACACTAATGACTAAAACAACATATCTTGCAATAACAACATCTATTGTTCTTCCACTAATCTCCCATGTAGGAATAGCCAGAATAGTAAAATACAAAATGTAGGAATAGCCAGAAGACACCATATAAATTGTCCTGATGAAGCCTGCAGGGAAAACATGTCGACAATTTTGAAGGCATTAGTGTAGTTGTCATGTATAGGTATTTTAAGTTTTGCAATAGTTTGCATTATTTGACAACCCTGCATACCAAGATATCCACTTCAGGAGACTATCGAAAGTAAACACAATGATGTTGGTTCTCCACATGGAGTTATGTTGTATGATTTGTTAAAAGTATTTGTTAAGTAATTCCAAACAACTAATTTGGCTACATTACTTGGTCAAAAGAACTAATGTGAAGTATTGCCATCACTTGGTGTTCAGAGTCTATAAAACTTGAAGGAAATGATATATTAGATTCCTTTATGATTTATGGTTGATTACCCCAAGTTCAGTTAAACATGGCCATCCACTGTATTAACTAAAATAGCTAATTGGACAGAAAATTCTTTAAAAAAAATTGAAAAACCTTGTAATGTACCAGTTAATATTAAACTTTGATTATAGATATGAATCTCTTTCCACATAAAAGCTAAGTGTTAAATCTTGTTAAAGACCAATTGCTACCTCAGTTTGCTTCTTTAAGAATATTGGTTTATGACTGCAACTGCCTTCAAACATGACTGACTTTTTTTCCATAGCACCTGAGATCACCCCTTGTCTTTGGTGGGTTTCTGTGCTCAGTCTTTAGTTGTATATGTTGTGTTTTGTAGACTGTTTGTCCTTTACTCATTTTTGTTTAGTTTAAACAATATTTATTCAGATAAATCATCACATAACAATATAAAACACTTAATAAATATCTAGGTTTCACAAACAAGCTACGTTGCATTTACAAATCTGTCTCATGGTTTTTACCATGAGGTTGTCAGTTTTTCTTCAATTTATGAGTTTGAATATCCCTTTGGTATCTTTCGGCTTCTCTTCCCCAATCGCCTTCTAACATGACTGCCACCATAATGGCATTACTTTATTAAAAGGGTAAAATCAACCCAAATAAAAATTGCAAATAATAAGGGAGCATTTGCTTTCAATTTTGAGGAAATGATATGTTTGTGATTTCCCTAAAAAATATGATTGATGACCTTCAAAATGAAATCTGGACAAAAAACTAATAAAGACACATATTCTGGTAAATAATTGCTACCTGCTAAAATAATATTTTTCTATCCTCTTTCACAAATATGGTTGATGACCCCATTTGCTTTCAAATCTGGCAGTCACCATGAAAAAATGAGGAAAATTTGACAATATGGCAGTATAACTATGAAAAAATGGGGACAATTTGACAATATGGCAGTTACTATGAAAAAATGAAGAAAATTAAAAAAAAATCTAAAAAATTACGTGAAGAATCATTTACTATCAATGCTTGGTTAAATGTTTGTTTGTGATCTTCAAGAAATGTGGTTGATGACTCAATCCACCTTCAAACATATTCATCATAATAAGGGAAGGTAGATTGATAATAACTCTAACCATCTTCAAATGTCACTAAAAGTAGAAAATTTTAAAAATCAAAATAAATACAGTCAAACCTGGGTAAACCGGACCCTGAATAAACCGGTTTCCTGTCCATTTCGGCCGAACAGTGAAATCCCATTTTTTTCCCTTCAAAGTCTTTGTAAAGATACCTCTGTAAAATGGACCCTGTGTATTCCGAATTCTGGTCTAATTATGCAGTCCCAATACTCTTAATTACATTAATTTATTACCTGTCAAAACCGGTTTGTTCAAATAATTTAACATGATAACAGTATTGATCGATATGCAATCAAAACATAATTGTTTATACAAGATGTTTTGTTTAGGATAATCAATTAGCAAGGTGTTAAACGGTTAACTTGCAGTAGTGAGCTGTTTTTATTGAAACCCTATTAAGTTTTAATTAAGATAAACAAATAGAAACGCTGAATATATCTCGGATAAAACTTTCGTTGTAACATAGATAAATTTTTCAAATCGTGGAGTAAGAAATTTACATTGCGTTTTCGAAATGCTGGCTTCCCTGTTGTGAACCCTGAAACCAATTACCCTGATAATGACAACATTGCATGATAATGACAACATTGCATTGTCCAGTTTATAGGTTTCGTACATTGTTTTGATCATGATCAATTTCTTTTGATAAAATTTTGCTTTATAATCGGCTTTACCCACGTAGGAAATGAACAATGGAAGTTTAAAGAAAATCTTGTTGGACAATTAAAACAACGCGAGGATTCTGATGCAAATGTAAAAAAGAAAAAAAATGAATTCAAAAAGACAGTGAAACTGACGAGTCAGAGACTGATGCTACCAAGACGATTTGGGAACACTTGAAATGTTCATGTCTCAATATTTTCACACAGATCATGACATAACTTTCAATAAATAGATTGTTACGGTATTTGTTTTTATTAGTTTACAATTTATAATGAGACCAAACTTGAACATGCAAAATATCTGATGTCACAAGTCAATAACTTCCTGTAAATATGGAAACCTGAATAAACTGACCCACTGTCCAAACCGGACCTTTTTCATAGTCCCATAGCCGGCTGGTTTATACAGTTTTTATACGCCCGTTTACGGGACGTATTATGGTATACCTCTGTCCGTCGTCAACATGTCGGACATTAACTCAAAAATGCTTTAACCAATTTGCATAAAACTTTGGTGAATTGTTTATATCTATTGACGTGAGCTCCCTTTCGTTTTTTATAAAATTTAGATTTTACGTTTTAGATTGTGGGGTTTTATTCATTAAAAAAAGGGGATTTTCCAGTTTTCGGAATCTTTGGTGAATTGTTTGTATGTATTGATGTAAGCTCCCTTTAGAATTTTATAAATTTTACATTTTACATTTCAGAGTTATGGGGTTTTATTCATTAAAAAAAGGGGTGATTTTCCAGTTTTCAGACAATAACTCAAAAATGCTGTCACCAATTCTCATGAAACTTTGGTGAATTGTTTATATCTATTGATGTAAGCTCCCTTTTTATTTTCATAAATTTCTAATATGACATTGAGAATTAATTGAACTTTATTTGTTTATAGTCTGACAACAGATTTACTAAGTATTGCACAACAGCAAGAAATCTTTAATTGAATATATATTCAATTCATATAACCAATTTCAAGATCTTTGACTACATTTATTCAGAAACCTATAATATGTCAAATATTTAATTACAATCCAAATTCAGACCTGAATCAAGCTTGAATATTGTGTCACTTTTTGCCCCAACTGTTCAGGGTTGAACCTCTGGGGGCGTATCTAGCTGCGCTCAGCGAAGCAGTTTATTACTGTATGTTACGATAATGTAGGTTCTTAAAAAAATTATATTTGGTCATAATTGATATCAAACTTTGGTTAACACTTTTTTACCAGATTGAACTGGTTTCTGCATCTCTATGACATTATTACAACTTGCACCTGACTGTCACCCACCTGAATTGATTTCAACGTTTTCGTAAACTGACATGTTGATGATTTTCAGGAGTGAGGATGTGATCATTGAATAAAAATAATTAAGTAAATATTACAACAACTGTTCACTTATACTTTTGAAGATTATTTATGTGAAATGTACATTTAATTTTAAGGTAAAACTATGAAAGAATTAGTCAATTCATCATAAACAACAATTTTTAGCAGAGAAGTCTCTTTACAAAAATATATATTCATATATTTTCAGTAAGAATACTATCATAAAACAAAACATATTCTTTTAATTATTTCAAACATTGGATAAAGGAAAAGTTTATGGCAATCAGATCAAAGTCTCATGATGATTATAAATTTGTCAGCATGTAACATTCATCTGCAGCCTCAGGCTGAACATGCATGAAATATATGCCACTGGACATTAAGCAACCAAAAATCAATTATCTGCATCCATTGTTGACTTTGCCTCAATTTGAAAATGGCTATTCCAAGTTATACATTTCTAAATACAACAATGTTAATTAGCGTACAAAGCAGTTCTTTGTCATATTTCAACATTTAAAAGAATGCACCAACTTGAAAAAAAGATAGAAAAAATATGAGGATTTTCTAAAATTCTAAATGGAAAATATTAACTTTCCCTTTTCTATCATTCTAGAAATGTTATGTCACATACTTTCACATGACAAAGAAATGCAAGGCATTTACTTCTAATGACATTTTATTTGGGCATTATAAGGATTCAATAGTCCCCTTATTCATTTATACTACTAAAATAACAAGGTCCAATTTGTTAGCCGTCATAACGTAAAAACTACGATTCAAAGAATTCAACTTTATATATAACTAATATAGGACAATGGTGTTGTTTAAAAATTACACCATTCCAGGCCCTTTTGTTTTCCACATAATTAATATTACC